GCCTGGTTCTGTTAGAGGTATCTGCCTTCCTCGCCACCGTCGCCAAGCGCTGGCTCACAAGTGTTTGTCACGTCATTGGGTTTCACTGGCCAGCGACATTCTAGTCTCGACCTTAAAACACTGAATGCCTCGAAATTACTTTTTTGTAAAATTATGAAATTGATTTTGTGTCGACATGTGACAAAGTTTGTTTGTGAAAACAGCACACAAAGAAAGAAATTACTGTCCTCAAAGCTGCAAGACTCTCTTGATGAAAACAGTAATTTGATGTCACAGACATGGAGCTGTTGCTGTACTGCTATGTGCCTTTGTTGTTTTAACACGTTCATTTTAATCTAGATTAACCCTTTAAGTGACAAAAGTTGCACAAATACCCAAGAAAACTAACCGTTTGAGGCAGAGGTGGATTTCAGTATTGTGTGGGATAAAATGCTGGGGGCAGAAATAAGTTTTGAAAGCTGCTGTTTGTCAACACTACTCTGACTCTCTGACTATAGCGTAGAGTTAAATTAATATTCGTGTTTCCAGGCAGCTAAAAAACATAAATAACTCATACATACCCGTCCTCTTTAAACAAACTATCTGTACCTGAGTGGAAACAGTTTATTTAGTGAAACACTCAAATTAAATATTCTAATCTCAGAATATTTTAATAATAGTGCTTCTGACATCTGACATGTCAGAAGCACCAATTACTGAGATATATATGGTGCATGTATGAATACTGCATGAATGGCAGTGAAGACATATCTGTGTTTGTCAGCAGGAAAAAGCCCGATCATCAGGTACACAGAAGCACATTTGGGACACTTTTTAGAGTGCTACACTTTGACCCGCAGTTGTAGTGCTGAGGGTTGCTAAGTGAGTTGCATAACCAAGAGTTCATGTTCCTGTTACAGCCTCATTGTGTGTATGGGGCTCTTACTTTCTTTCACTGTCACTTGTTTCTTTTCATTTTTAGTTAATTTAGTTTTACTTGCATAAAACTTAACGAATAGAATTGGAAAAGCAAAAATCTGTCATCGTTTTGCATGTAAGAATATAAAAGTTTCAATTTAATTCAAATGAGTGAAATTTATTAGGGGATATATTTCACAGGAACGTTACTTTTGCAGGACTTAAGCCATTTGGTCATAATTCCACCTCTCACGTGCAGCCAGTCGGATGCAGGACATGCTGTGGTCAAACAACCAGCTTATTGCTGTTTTGTTGTGCGGAGCCAGTGAACCGGCCTGCAATCCAACACCTTTGCAAAGCTGCACTTTCCTCAGTCCTTGGAATCTTACTCTTTTGGCACATTTCAAACTAGAAAAACAGCTTGTTTATAGGAGTGTATGTTGTGCAGAATAGCCAAGTACTACTCATTTTCAGCAGAGTTCACTTCCAAGGCCATCTGCCTTATAATGCCTTTGGATCCAGAGTTTGTGAACTTTCTTCATTTGCAAAAAGTTCAAATCAAGTACAAAGACAACACAAATGAAGATGGCTTAGGCAGGAAATCAAAGACACATGGAGTTCCCTGCTAGCCTCTTAGGAGAGACTTATTACATTTATCATATATTGTATTAGGGTGAGGGTGGGAGGAACACATCATGTGAGAATACCAGAGTTAAATTGACGTGACATGTAACAGAAATGTGCAAGCTTAGAGCTTTTATGGGAAAGAATGTTATAAAGTATGTAGAGCGTCTGCTTTCTTGCGTCCTCTTGCTTTAGCAGCAGCAGTACTGTTGTGCTCTTTATACATATATATTTACTTGTGTCATTGTGAGGGCACTCATCAATGCACAGTGCACTGCTTTTTTTATTATGCCTCTCATCCTGACCTTAACCGTCACAGCCAGATTACAATCTGACCTTATAACCCACAGTCCTAATCTAAACCGTGTCACCTGGACCTTTAACCTTGAGCTGTTCTCAGATATGCACCACAGCGCTGAACTTTTCGAAACATTACCCGACCGAGGTACACGCGAAAAGGCAAATGTCCAACGCACCTGGTTCGGACACACCGGGTCTTTAACCTGCTGCTTCTTTTAACCTGGTGCTCAGGTTGAAGCTCATATCGGTGCTCGCAAAGATATCACTAAAATTTCTCCCTCTCACACGTACGCGCACAGCCTCTGTGTGACAGAGGGACGCCAGGCAGGAGACCAATAAAAAAACAGGCTGAAAGGGGCAGTGCACAGTTTCACAGGTGCACATGGAGACACACACAAAGGCACAGACACACACATTGGGGCTGCCAGTATTATTGAGTGCCCTTTGCAACAGATGGAGAACTGAATCCGACGCTGCTGAGTCGGAGGAAAATCTTGCAGTCGTAAGTGTGAGCATTTACAAACCTGTGCTTATGTGTAAACTTTTCACAATATTTAGAACACCCCCCATTTCCAAGAAGCACACAGGCAAGGTGAATCCAAGTGAAACCCCCCCCAAATTGAACAAAGAGGAACATCTGATGATTTAGCGAATGGAGACATTTAAACATCCTTATATCCTGATATAAAAACTTTTAAAAATGGGACTGAAAGATGTAAATTAATGACAAAAAATGTCTGTTTATTTATTTTGGATTGTTGACATGGACATGTTTTGAGACCATTTTCTGAGGATGTGTTTTGTATGTTTGCTCTGCTAATTAAGCTTTGAATCAGATTTTTGTATCGTAGGCAGACTAGTACTGCCATACTTTTCATGTCTACATGTACGTGTCACTCTTTCTTCTCATAGTATTTTTTACAACATCCAATACTGGGAAAAGGACTTGCACAGCTAATGTCCAACCATATAATAGCTTCATACTTTATTACAATGCATGTGCGGTTGTTGAAAATAACCACTTTCAAGGCTTTGTCTGCTTTAACTGGGGATAAAAGTGACTTTATTCATCTATAGGAAGTGCATATGGGAGCAAAGAGCATGACAGCCATAAATCTGGGGCTCTGAGGCAGATGATGAGCTCATGATTTGTGCATTTCAACCACTAATAAGCACGTATTTCCTCTTTGAAAGACCCTCACATCAAGTCATCTTTGGTAAAGTTGTTGTCCTGGCCTCTGTGTATGCTGTTGCTGTTTTTTGTGTACCTTTTCCCACGGCTGTGTGGGTTTCTGTGTGTATACGTGACTCTACGAGCTGGATGTTACCACCATGTGTTTTGCTTCTTTCGTATGCCTGGGTGCTTGTGTGTATGTGCTTGAATTTTGTGTTAAGTTAGTACAAACAAAAACATGCATGCTTTAGTATCACTTTCCGTCCCCTGGGTAGGGGGTACTCTTGGATGTCACATGATCGGCTGACCTGATTTTGCATTGCTGAGTCAACGAGTTGTTTCGGGGTTCAAGTTAACGCTCGACTCGGCCCTGTGACCTTGGGACATGTCTTTGTCACTGTGGTAACAGCCTCGGGGTTACTTAAAATAAGGGAGCACACTGGATGGGAGCACTAAGTGTTTCTCGATGTGCTTGTGCATCAAATTAGGCACTGTACCACATTTTATTTGCCCGGGGAACATTAACTCACTTCTTTTTAATGAACATCCTGCAACAAAGCCATAAAGTTGGATTCACACCTGGGCGATAAATGATGCAACAGCGCCCTGCTTTAGGTTATGGTGGAGTGCCACTACAGTAGTTGGGAATTAAGTGCTTTGCACAGAAGGTGCAAAATCAAGTGTATTGGTTGCCTGAGCGTTTGATGCAGGGAGCTTGAAAATGGAACTTATTTCCCTGAATGGTATGCATGCAGAGTAGGAAAGGAGAAGTGCGATTCTTTCGATATTGCTTTACACATAGCGACTCTCGATCAGAGCTTTCTGAGAAAACGAATTGTAGTGTAAAATTGTTTAACATTTCCAGGCTATGAGATGTGGTTTTCACAGAAATACTACCTTCATTATGAGGGTCTGCTCTCAGTTTACTAGAGACATTTGGTCAGAGAAAGAGAAACGCTGTCCTTACTGGAAACTGAGCTAAGTTAATGCGCAAGAACTAAGTAGTTATGATTTTTGTTTAGAGAGGGAAAAAAGAGGACACGAGCCTCAAACCGTGTGTCTCATGTGGGTAAACAAAGCGTGGTTACCATGCTGATTCGGCGTCAGTGTATAAATAGCATGGGTGTTTGTTCTGAATAGTCTTCAGAGAGGGAGAGAGCACAACAGAAAAAGGGAAAAGCAGAGGAAGAATCACAAGTGCAGACATTTACAAATGCACATGGTTTAAAGACTTCTATTTAAACAAGGACTGGGATTTAGCAAGTACTACAGGCATTGTTTGTGTGTGTGTCTGTCTGTCTGTCTGTGTGTGTGTGTGTGTGTGTGTCAGCTTTGTCAAGAAAGGCAGTGGTAGCAATCACATAAACAACAACATATCTACAATTTTCCTCTTCAAATTTGCAAACCCATTTCTTAACACAGAAGGCAAGTGGAGTTTTCTTGTAATAGCAGCATCACCCTGCACCACACTAATAGTTATTTATGTAGCTTCTCTTTGTTATTTCTTGAACTTTTATGAACGAAGATCGCTTTGCTATCAAGCTCATTGTTAACGTCGACCTGTTTTGCTCATTTCCTGCTTCATATTTTTATTCCTGGACTGTATGAGACTTGCCTTGACTCAAGTTCATCCAATGTCTGAAACAAAATGTTTGAGCTGCTCTCGCTTGAAGGACACCCTCCCTCCAAGCTAGCTTTCTGCTGAATGGCTGCCCCTCGTGAACAGGGGGGCTACTAAGGCTACAATATTACAATTTAATGGATATTGCTTCTCTATGAGAGCTTAATGTTCCAAGAGTAGCAGTGTTTCTGCACAAAACCGAAATAATTAAGAGGAAAAGAATACTGAATGATTAAGCTGATTATTGTACTTGCAGAGCACTGGATGTGGTTATTATGCTATGATAATTGAGCTAAAGTAAGCAATAACCCAGACCTAAGTAATCTCAGAGGATGTAATATTGAAGAGAGAAATAAAAGCCTCTCTGTCTCTGTTTATCTGCAGGGAATTGTGACCACAACTGCCGACATACAGACGTGAATAGACGGCGCACACTTCTTCTCCCTTGCTTTCTGCTGGTGGAGAGATCAAGGCTTCACATCAGGAACTACGACTGCAATCCGTTGTCAGCTCTCAGCTGAGCAGAAGGCTCCACCTACTCGGCCAAAGTAGCTCTGCCTCCTATTCTCAGGTAGGATTCAAAGAGGATGGAGTCAGGGAGTCAGTTGTCTCCTTCCCCTCACACCTATCCGGTCACAGCAGATGGCTGTCCCTCACTGAGCTTTCTTCCTGTGAAAAGGGAGTTTTTCCTTCCCACTGTCGCTCCAAATGCTTCTTCATATGGGTTGTCTGATTGTTGTGATTTTTCTCTGTATTTGTATTTTTTTTCTTACCTTACAATATAAAGGGCATGTTGTTGTGATTGGGCACCATATAAAGAGAATTTAATTGAATAAATTGGATTGAATTGAAGAGACTTTTAACATGTATGTCTGCGCTTTATTATCAGGCAGATTCTGGTCCAGTTGATCTGTTATGATAACCGTTATGAGTACACAAGCTAAGCTGCTATTAAAATCCAGTAAGACCTGTGGTGCCCGCACAGTCTATGGATATACATGCGTTAAGTTTTAACGGGTTAAATCCATCTGCTGTATTCAAGCTGTCGAGGGATTGTTTGTAGAGGAGGCATGTATTTTTATGCCAGATCAGCGGTAACCATGGAACCATGCGCGGTAACATATAAGCATCGCTTATGGTTTATAGCATGAAGGATTGTGATTATTGACCAGTTAAACACAGTCACCACACAGTAACTACAGTGACCACAGTAACTTTTGCTTCATGAGATGACAATATGAGGAAGTTGAAGCTCCAGCAACACTTGGACTGTGTAGGACAATTTAATTACTTCCCTCGTATTGCTTATTATAGATAACATTTTAAATAGGGTATGAGTAGAGTAGAAAAAATAAAATAACCAATCGTACAGTGCCTCAAACATCAACAAGCATGTGCTGGGTTTATGATATTATGGATTAGAGCCAGTCAATCTCCCTGGCAGTAAGTCCAGTGACATCTCATACATGCAGTTATAAGCAGAAAAAGTAATATTACAATATGAAATGTAGTTCTAGTACAGGTTTTCTTGTGTTGTAGTTTTCAACACTTAGTGTGTTCTTGAAAACCCACGCTAGAGACCTTACGCTGCGAAAAACCAACAAACGATCCGAGAGCGCTGCGCTAGGTGAGCTAGCTGCATGAGCCAAGCTATTCTCTGACTCGACCATACCGTAGCAGGCTTTACTCCAGTTCAGAGGGGTGCGGTCATGGTACACCGACGCATCTCTTCTCCAAGTATATCAAGAATCAGTTATATGTTGTTGGTTCACTGTGCAACCTACGTGAGTCTGAACCAAACGAGTCGAGCTGCAGGTATGAGACCAGATGGGTCGGGCCTGTCCTTTTTCTTTTCTTCTTTTAATAGCAGTTTTCATAAGATCTGAGGTACTTAGGTGTGCTTTGGGTGTATGTGCGTTTCTGTGACTCAGAGGATAAACTTCTTTGAATGGAACTGAGCTCCTGTCCTTCTCGCCGCCCTCCTTCATGCTTTTTGACTTTTGATTTTCTCGTTTTCGTTTTCACTCTTCACTTTCAACGGCCCATTGTGACGTCCCTCAACTCCTTCTCCCATCAATATTCCCTTTCTCTCTCTCTCTCTCAGTTTCACTACCCATCCTCTAGCTGAAGAAGCTTTCCGCTCTTTTCCCTCTTACTGAATCCTCGGCCGCTTGTATTGAAGCTTCTCCGCCAGCCCTTTATCGCCGTCTCGCCAGCTGCATGTTGAAGCTCCATTCTCTCCTATGAGGGATAGCAGGATGAATAGAAGGGCTTACTGAGGGAAAGAGCGAGAAAGCCAATCCCTGCTTTTTGTCTCACTGAACATCTTTTACGGTCTTCCTCTCTCCCCTCTCCCTGTCCTAAACTCTTCTGTGACCAATACCGTCACCGCTTTCTCCTGCTGCTCATTCTGCCTGCGCTGTGAGAGGGGCTGTTGTTATCATGGGATAGTTGTAGACACAGACAATATAGAAAGAGAGGATTTTTTTGTACCAGTTATTTTAAAAAATATATCATAAAACCCAAACATGATTTTTGGTTCTCGTCCCAGTTGCAGCGTGCCACCGGCTGCTGCAAAATAAGTTTTTGTTTATCGCCCCCTCAGCGTACGGTTATACTCGACTCACCAACAGCATCATTTTATTTTTGCTGTGAGCTACTTCAGGGACTTGCTTCATACCTCTACAAATATGTTTTGAAGTACAGACTAATTAGCTTATTAAATTAACATTGTACCAATTTATAGAGGACTAGTTTTGTGGATGGGAGTGGGAGGAGTGTAAGGATAATAAATCAAAAGGTAAGATAAAGAAGAAACAAGGTTGATAATTGGGGAAAGAAGTGAACATAAAGTAGCCTTTTTGGATTTTTCTTTTCTCTAAAATTCAGTCGCTCCCTGCTCCCCTTGTCCTCTTCTCTTCCTCTTTCTTCAGCCGTCATTCTCGCTGACTGGAAATTACACATTTCACTCCCCGCTGCTTTCTGCTCTCTCTCTCTCCATTGTAAATTCACTGTTGACAGTTGCCTTTCTCTGAACACAAAGTCTCAGAAATGAGCAGATGGAGGGGTGACAGCCTAAAAGCTCAAACAATGACACTGGGCGGCAAGTCGCCGTGGCTGTCGGTGTAGCATATAGAGACTGCCAGCTATAAAGAAGCTAAAGATGTAGAATCAGAATGAGAACGCATGACATAAATCAACTAAAATTGACATTTGACACGTGGCTTATGTTGTATCCTGTGTGACTTACAGTGAGTCTAAGAGGAGAATAAGCTTATGTTACAACGCCGCTAACAAAGAGGTACCCAGCTGATTAGTGACATGTTCACCTCACCTGTCACTTCATTAGGTACGCCTTGCTATTACTGGGTTGGACCCTGTTTTGCATTTAGAACTGCTTTAATCCTTTATAACATACATTTAACAAAATGCTGGAAACATTCCTCAGAGATTTTGTAGCGTCACACAGTTGCTGCAGATTTGTTGGCTGCACATCCATGACGCAAATCTCCCGTTGTTCCATGTTCCACCCGATTGAGATCTGGTAACGGTGGAGGATGTTAGAGTGCAGTAAACTCACTGTCATGTTCAAAAAACAGTTTGGGATGATCTGAGCTTTGTAACGTGGTATCCTGCAGGAAGTAGTCATCAGGAGATGGATACACTGCTACCTTACACAGCTACCATAGAGTGGAAGGCGAGGCACACCCTGGACAGGTCGCCAGTCTGCCGCAGGGCTAACATCGAGACAGACGTCCATTCACACACACATTCTCACGTCTTTGCACTGTGGGAGGAAGCCAGACATCGGTGCCTGAATTCTGACCTTAATATCTGAATCTTGGAACAGAAATCGAAACTCATCAGACCAGACAACATTTTTGCAGTCTCCTGTTTATCATTTTGATGAGCCTTTGTAAATCGTAGCTTCGGTTTCCTGTTCTCAACTCACATAAATGGGACTGCTGTAGCCCATCCACTTCAAGGTGCTTTCAGAGATTCTCTTCTGCATGTCTAGAGCGTTATTTGAGTTACTGTTGCCTTCCAATCAGCATGAAGCAGCCTGGTTATTCTCTTCTGGCCTCTGGCATTAGGAAGGCATTTTTTAGACCGTTCTCTGTGAACTCCAGAGATGGCTGTATGGGGAAAATCCCAGCTGACTGGCAGTTTCTGAAATACTCATATCAGCCCATCTTTCACCACGCCACGTGCAAAGTCACTGAAATTACCTTTTGTCCCCATAGTGACGCTCAGTTGGAAGTTTGTAGGTTGTCTTGGTCGTGTCTCCACTATAT